ATTTAACTCAATCTATATCTAAACTGACAATTCAGTTACATTTTACAAATTCCACAAATTTTAATCTGCATATATATATATATATATATATTATGACAAAATATTAATTATAGGAATACTTGTGGGATGCTGACAAGGGGAGAATTATTTGACCCGTCAGAGTGAATAAGCAGTTTGGTTGAATTTGTAGATGTGTGGGCACTGAAACAAGTCTCCTTCAAAAGTTTACCAATTTTTAATATGCATTCAAAAAGGTGCTTAAGTAATTTTCTGAAATAACTTCAAAAATGTCTTTAAGTCCAAAACTATGTAATTTTCCCTCGACACATCCCTCAGTGAGATGGATGCCCCATGATAGTTAACTCAGTCTAACTTCACACTCAAAGTCAATGCTAAGTGAAATTGGAGAAGTCCTTGGTAGTCTCACAAGGAAATGGCTAGATGTCCTCTCTGATTCAGACAAAACTTGATGAGCACATAGCCCTAAACACAGTTCCTTATCCAAATAATAGAACAGACTTCAAGCATTTCCAAAAAACAGGCCTCTGAAAAAGGAGTGTCTAAGTTCTACATATCATAAAAATGGCAGTAGATTTTACATGCTGGGCTAACATGATATGGGTTTGATCCTCTCACAGTTTCATTTGTTACACAATAAAAAATAAAATAAAACTCTATTTTATTATTTTATCGTATTATTAGCATTATTACTACTATTCTTATTCTTCACATAAGCTTCAGATATGGTGGTATTGTTTTATTTGAAGTGTAACAAACATAAGCACATGAGGAAATTGTCTATAAAATCAACAATTAAAAGAAAAATGCTGAAATTATGCTATCCTATTTTCATATCAAGGGCTTGTCATTTTTGTCCATGAGCAGTAATGTCTGAAGCTTATTTTCCTGTGTTGAAATAGCATGTAACCACAAGCTAAAATATCTGAAAATAAATATGAAGAAATAAAAATTTTACTTAATAACATAAGAGTTAAATATACAGAAACTTTGTTTTTGCTAAACAGGAAATGACATCACAATATTTAATCTCATTTTATAAGTCCCAAATGTGAGGAATAAGAATAGTAATAGTAATGCAAATGATACACTAAAATAATAAAATAACTATGTTACTAAATATAATAATAAAATAATTATATTAAAAAAAAACTGAAGTCACCTAAAATCAGGCCAATATCTAGTAGTTCCAGTGTCTATAACCTTATCCACTCAGCTACTGCCATTCATATGATACATAGAACCTCCAGACTTATAAACTGAACACTCAATTTTTTGGGGAACATGTTTCTGAAATGCTTGAGAAGTGGGTCCTATTATTTGGACCAAGAACTACTGGTGTTTAGGGTTGTGTGTTTGCCAAGTTTCATTCGAATTGACGAGAACAACATTTATCATCTCTTTGTCAGCTGAGAAGATGAAGCAGAAAGGTAGGTACAAAAAAAAGATAGTAACTTGAGTGGTCTTTAAGCAGTTACAGAAGGACAGCCAGGAAAGAATGCAGGATAATAATTGGTGGGGGAAAGCCCAGCATCCTTGATTCTGCAGTTTATACAGAATTTTTAGTGAATTAATAAGGTTCTGATTAGTTTAAGTCTTCCTTCCTAACTGGTTACCTCTGTTTCTAGGTGTAAAAAGACTCAGATTAAGGCTTGAGAAAGGCTGATTATCTAAGTGCAATTTGATATCTCATTTCAACTCAGTCTAAGAATTGTTTATTAAACCATATCCTTTTTTTCTCATATTTTAATTTACTGTGTTTTTAATACATGAACCAAGAATTTTAACAATTCTGTTACAAAGTTCTCCCTTCAATTAATTTAAAATTATTTATCACAAGTGTATTCTATATTCCCATTTAATTGCTTTTACAATTGTCCATGTCAGGATTTGCTTCCTTGATTAGACACCTGTTAATTCTTGTTACTTCTTTCACTTGCAACTTACATCACTAACTATTCTCAACAGGTTTACAATATACATACATTCTGGTGTGTACAGAGATTATAACTATATCTACTCTTCAAACCTGTTAACTGGAATGGTTCCTTTTTTATAGTCACAAATGTTTTGACTGAGGAATCCCCTCCTGGACTCTTCCTCAGGCTTTATTGAATAGGCTGTTACTATTCGAATAAACTTTATATACGAATTTCTTCCGAATATTGTCATGTGAAAATGTTCCATAATAATACAATTGTATTGTGCATGTTCCATATACAGGTATACCTCGCCTTACATCAGTAATTGGTTCCAGGAGAGGCAACGTAAGTTGAATTTACTTGTCTCCAAATCTACTTGTCACTAGGCTAAACCATAAATTACCATTCCCGGTTCTGTATTTTATTTATTAATGCATTTTTAATAATATATGGTTAATAAGGATCAACTTTAAGCTTACAAACAAATAAATTTTAGTTTTTAATATAATACAGAAAAAAGTAAGCTAAATTTATATGTTAATGATATGTTAATGATATCTTTATTTTGTGGAAAGATAATCACAGAGTTAACCAGTTTATAAATCTGATCAACAACAACCTGTAATTAACTCTGGAGCTGGAGCAGGAAAATGAAAGCACTGTTAATTTTTTGGATTTATCTATAACTTGAAAGGAAGAGGAAATGAAAACAGATATATACTGGAAACCCAGTTATCTTCCTATTATCATTGCTAGGAACTCCGCAAACCCTGAGCATATAAAAATGGCGGTTTTTCGTTCATGAATAAGGAGGGCGCACATGCATTGCACCAGCATCTATGACACTTACAATGAGTTGGAATAAGAGCTAGGTCAGTCTGGTTTTGGCAAGGTAGTGCTTCTGTTTGAGCTCCGTCTTTAGATCATCAGAACTTACGATATTTAGCATCGACAGATGAAAATAAAACATCGCTGGACAGCACTTATCGCAAGGATTCCATGAGTGAAAAAATTATTAATTTCCGACTCGTAGTTCAGAAGTTATGAGTGTTCAAACTTTTCGGTTTTGTTCGGGCCCCACGTGCGCCATCCGATATTTTTATCGACAGCCTTAGATGGCAAATTGTACCAACTACGTCGTACAAAAATTTCGCTCGGTTATATATTACGGTTCTCGAGATATAAATGGATAATAAATTCACCGTTAACAAAGGGCCGTTCCGCCACGTGCGTGTTAGCCGACCGGCGTGATTTTAGCCGAGCAGCGTCGGCCGAGCGTGGAGGCAAATTTTCGTAACTACAATTTCATTTTTCGGTAAAAGCACCATCTCAGCTCCCTTTATCAGTTTTATAAGCGCGACTGGATTTTGATTGGCGGTTTAACGGAAGGGTGTCTAGCCAATCGGCATCATTGTAGCCTTTCGGCGATCCGTTGTTTCCTCAGTTATAACCTCGAGCTGCGACTTACGCTCAGTTTACTGTGCTTGTCGGGTTGTCGGTTAAGGGATACTTACGTCCCGCGACTTAACTGTTTTAGTATCTAAGTTATTATTAACAAGCCGATCGGCATATTCGTGCTAAACGGCTCCAGAGGACAGAACACTGGTAAGAAACTCTTCGACCTCGCTCATCGCAAAAAAATGGAGTCACCCGAACCAACTAAAAAATTAGATATGTCAACCGTACCAGCAACACCAGCTGAACCAGCTACATCGAGTCCGCCGGTAAGTCTCGAAAACCTGGAAGACAAAATACTAGGGGAAGCAAGTGAACATCTGAAAAAAATAATGGATCTTCTTCCTGCTAAAAGCAAACCCTCACTAAACACCGAGGAACGAAAAGAAGTAAAGGACCGGGCGTTGCAACTGCACAGTTGCATCTGCCAGATGTTCGGAATTCTACGCGAGATGAGGGCCAAACTGGAGGCCGCTCCAGCCCAGATTCCAGTCCAGGAACCGCAAACAACGACGAAAACATACGCACAGGTGGTCAGCGCCAACATCGACATCAGACCCAGCCGCACAACAAGAACCTTATCGGATTCAATACGCACGAAAGTACAGGTGGAGGGTTCTGGAGGTACCCACGTGATGCTCCTGTACCCACAAGCTAAGGAGGAAGGCCAAAAAATAGATATGGATGAGGTTACATCAGAAATAATCAAAGAAATCAAACCTCACAAGCTTAAGATAACGGTAAAGGCCGTCCGTAGGGTCAAGGCAGACGGAGTGTGTGTTAGGGTTGGCAGTGAGAGAGATAGTAAAGTATTAAAAGAAGCCATAGAAGCAATACCGAACATACAATCAAAAATTAACTGTAAGATATCCGAGGGCAGAAAACCCAGGATAATACTACTAAACGTCCCCAATGCCATATCAGAAGAAGACATCATAGGAGTAATGGCAGAGCAAAATAATATATGGGGGAACAAGACGACGGATGAAATAATAACTGCGTGCAAAATAAGCAAGATTTTAAAAAACGGCAGAGTCAAAGAGAACTGCCAAAACGTTGTTCTGTCAGTAACACCGGCCATCCGAAACATTCTAATACACCACAGACACATATCAGTGTCGTGGTTTATGATCTACATCGATGACTTCATACCACTTATAAGGTGTTACCAGTGCTGTGGTTTTGACCATTATGCACGGGACTGCACAAACGTTAAAAAATGTAGCCACTGTACGAAAGAACATGGCTACAAAGACTGTACGAGACGGCAGAAAAACCCTGTATGTGTCAATTGCAAAAAAGCAAACGAAAGTCTCCCAGAGAACAAACAGAGATTGGTCAACCACAACGCATTCAGCAACAGCTGCCCGCTCCTCCAACGACTGAAACAGCAACACATAAACAGAACGGATTATGGCCAATAGCCACACGAGCGATCCAACACAGACCCACACAAACAACGACCAGTCGACAGAGAAAATGATAACAAATAGTCAACACCGGACAACCAACACGATAAAAATTCTGCAAATAAACGCCCAAAAGAGTAAGGCAGCCAGCTCGTTGCTTATAAAGACTGCAAACGATACAAACAGCGATATAATAATGATCCAGGAACCCTACACCATAGACAACACCATCGTCAGGTTTGGGAACTGGAAGGTCCTCGCAGGCCACTACAACACACGGCCGAAGTGCGGGATCCTCGTCTGCAACGACAAACTAAACATCGCTCTCATCCCGTGGCTTTGCTCGCCCAACATCTGCACGGCAATGATACACCAAGAGAACCCAATATACCTATTAAGTGTGTACTTTTCACCCGAAGAAAATGATGAGAGCTGCATCAACGAGCTGGTAAGTGTCACGAGCAGAATTGACATTAAAAATGTCATTATTGCTGGGGACCTGAATGCTAAATCAGCGATATGGTTCCACAATAAAGAGGATAAAAGGGGAAGGTTGGTGGCAGACTTTATGGACGCAAACGATCTTATATCGGTCAATATGACGACACACCCGACTTTTCACACTCCCCACGCAGAGGGCTGGACGGATGTCTGTCTGGTTTCTGCGGACCTGGGCTATCAAATCTCTGACTGTGAGACGATGCTCATTACGTCCGCTAGCGACCACAGATAACTTTTGACCCAGGTGTCCGATGTCATAATCGAAGAACAACAAACTAATCACCACAAAATGCATACTAATTGGGAGACGTTCCGGGAATGTTTTAGCCAACAATGGAGAAACTACAGCTTTCCCGATATAAAGACCCAGGAAGACATAGATAATTATGCAAATTTCATAACCGATACCATCCTATCGGCCAAAAAACAAGCCACCTTAACAAAAACAAGAAAGCACAGAAAGACCTACTGGTGGATGGATGAGTTATCAATACAAAGGGACAGGGTCTCCAAAGCCCGTAGAAAGGCCTCTAGAACAAAAGACGAAGAGGAGAAGGAAAGGCTAAAACAGACATATAAGACAAAATTGAAGGAATACAAAAAATTGATCAATAAAACAAGAACGAAGGCATGGAGGGGCTTTTGCAGTAGGTCCAACAAAAACGGTCCCTGGGACATTCCCTACCACATAATTTACAAGAAAAGACAAAAGCTTAACATTCCGGATATAATCGAAACAAGCGACCAGGGAAACGACAACATTCCTGATATACAAAAGAATATCACAGAAATAATGGATTACCACTTCCCGATGGATCGCACGGAAGAGGACTCGCCAATACACGATTCTATCCGTATTGGCAGCGATAATTATACTACGACAACCAACGACCAGCTTTTTTCATTTCGCGAGGTGGAGCGGGCAATTATGTCGCTCGCCAATAAAAAAGCTCCAGGACTAGACAACATTACCCCCGAAATGGCGAAAGAAGCTTTTAAGGCCATACCGATCTCCCTAGTACACTTATACAACAAATGTTTACAAACGGGCTTTATCCCGAGCGATTGGAAGGTGGGGAATATCAAACTAATCCCCAAGGTAGAAAAACCCTCCGCACCCAGTCACTACAGGCCACTAAGCCTCCTCCCGGTTCTAGGGAAGGCCCTGGATGGATTAATTATAGAAAGAATCAATTGGATATTACAACAAGGAGACCACCAAAGCCCTAATCAATACGGATTCCGCCCTGGAAAATCAACAACAGACGCTGCCCTAAGTTAAAAACTACATTAAAAGAGCTTGGAAGAAAAACAATCATGCAATACTTATCAGCATAGATTTCAAGAAGGCGTTCGACCACCTTTGGTGGCCGAGCATCCTACACCGGCTAAAAACAATAAATTCACCGATGAACATCTATAGAATCACAAAAAACTACCTTACAAACAGGAAGGTGGTACAGTGGAACCCCGGTTAACGAACGTCCTGGTTAACGACCAAATCGGTTAACGAACTTTTATTTTGCAAAAATTTTGTCTCGGATAACGAACAAAATTCGGATAACGAACGTAACGGTATTTTGTGTCAAATTTTAGTTGTGTTAGGCACGTGCGAGTTAAGTATTGCTTTTCCGAGTGTTTGTACTATACTTCTTTTTTCAGTTTTGTGATTTATATATTTAATCAATATGGCATCCAAGAAAGAAAAAAGTCATAATGGCAATAGAAAACGACAACGCGCTATCGCATTTGAGAAAAATTTTGATTAAAAGAATAAGACAATCAACTTTAGATCAATTTCTTGTTCCTTACGGAAA